ATAATAATGACAGATCAAGTGAGCATATGATGTGATGACTATTCTGATAGGTTCATCACATGAGTTCAAACTATAATGATAGACTTGCATGAACCCTTAAGTGTATATAACAAGCATGGTTTCAACGATAAACTATTCAATAAAGATCATCAAATCAAACATGTCAAATATAAGACATGAACTGTGGTGAGAATTATTTTTATTGAACCCAAACAAGGTGGTATAACATCACAAATATAATATAGCATGGTGTAGCAAATGTGAAATCTTAACAGAACATTAGGATATGTATAAAAGCATGGCTCAATAAGGTTATCTAAGCATAGCAGTATAGCTATCATTTAACTAACAGAGATAAAGAACATATAGAATTAACTTAAGGCTTAATTCAAGTAATCATAAAAGGTTCAACAGGATTTGTTGAGAAGAGTATCAACATCATGAAAATATTTTATCTAGCTAAGTTATGGAGATAAAAATTATTAACAATATAGATCATATAGCAATATCAAACAACATAATTTATCAAGAAATTATCACATCGACAGTGGAAATGGCATACAGCAAACATAATATAAGAAGTATAGTCATGTACAACTGATATATATCATAAGTGAAAGATGATTAACAGAAAAAAAAATCACAAAATTGCACGATTAAAAGATAGAGATAGGGTCAGTATACACTGACCTTCTGCAAAGCAGCAAACCAAGAGAGAGTCGATTGTTAGCCATTTAGGAGTCCAAACCAAACACGATCCACTCATAGAGATCGAACTCAAGCATAAATGAATAGAGGAAAATAGAAATTAGGGAGAAACTACCGGAACTTAATACATAGTAGGAAAAAAGTTGAATTTTTTAGTTCCTTCAATGTATTTGCCGGTAATGTTAAGTATGTTGGTGCCTGTTAGGTATAAATATTGAATGCCCTATTTATAGTGGAATTCAAGCCACTTAGGATTTCGATTGAGTTTGAACAGATAGTAGAAAGTGACGATAGGGTGGATGACGATAGTAAGCAGGTAAAATCAGAAGGAAATGAGGGGAAAAGTAGTGTAGAGTTTACCTGAGCACGGGGAGGTTGACCGTTGGAGCCTTCGATCCAGCAGTCAAACCTTAATGTCTAGAGGTCACTGTGTTTGACCTCTAGATAACGAATAATAATGATTAAGCTGAAGATAATAGCCATGCATGGTCCGATTCGACGGAACAGAGGAAGGATAGATGGATTTTCTAGTTTCATGATTTTAGGTCTAGGGTTCAAATTGGGGGTTTTAAAATTGGGAGATGAAAATTGAAATATCGTCATGATTCGCGGATACAGGGGATAAATTGAACGTTTTGGGGTTTGAATTTTTGACCTTGCACGAATTAGTGACCTTCCAAGAATTTGTGCAAGGTCTGGTGATTAATGGTTCGACGGTGAGAGAAAGAAGAGAGAAAAGGGAAAGAGAGGCGACTGGGTAATGGGAGAATGATTTAGGGTTAGGGGTTCTTTTGGGTTTAAAGTGAAAGGCTGAATCTCAGACGTTGGATCTCTTGATCAACGGTTTCGATTTTTTAGAAGGTGAGATTGGATAAAAAATGGTTATTAGGGAAAAAATGGGGGTCGTGAGATCTGTGTGATCCAACGGTTGAGATAAGGTATGGCAAAAGGTTTAAAATAAAGGAAAAACAAGAATTAATATGGACCATTGATGAATTCGATCAATGGTCCGGATCTATTGTATTTGTTTTGTGAGTGGGAAAGATAGACGACTTGGCACGATGCCATTGGTTGAGATGTAATGGCATGGATTGCCAACATGAGATGGAAGAGGTGGGTTTGGACCCGGTCAAAGGTTTGGGCTTGTGTATTTTGGGCCAAAATGGTTGAAATGCACTTAAACACATAGCCACATTGGATTTAAATGGTTAATTGCAATTATAGCCCTTTGAGATTTTAACCCCTTTAAAAATTACCTTAATTAAACTTAATTAGTTCTAATTAAATATTATAGAATATAATCATCAAATATATTATGAATTACTATAACTAATTATTTATTTATTAAAACAATTCATTTATTAAGTTATGAAACTAATTTCGGGTTAATTAAAGTAATAAAAGCGATATAATTATAAATCAAAGGTTAATTAGTTAAATTAATTGTAAAACTTGTTTATTAAAATATAAAGGTTATTTTAATAATTCCAAAATAGTAGGAGTAATATAATTCATAAATATTTAATACTAGATTATTAATTCAACATTGTTAATTACTATTTCCTATAATATTTTTTATAAAATAGGTATTATTGATTGGAAAATATTTTACCACATTTATTGCAAACTATTAAGCATAAATAATTTAATTTTAAAAGGAAGGGTCAAAATTGGTCGTCAACAACTGCACATCTTAGACCAGAGACGATGAAAGAGTTTGCGGGCAAAGAAATTGACTCAAGACCAATTGTGTCCCAACTCTAGGCATGTATTGCAAGAATGGTATATGGATTTGGGAAGGATAGTTGTGAGATTAGAGGCCGAATTCCAGCTTTGAATCTCTTACCTACCTCGGGCATAACGAGGATCAAGTCTCATATAATTCTGGAATGGTGATTTGGAAAGTTGATGCTTGAAGAAGTTGCCCTAAAATCGTATTATGATGATACTGCAAGGCGGGAAGATCTTGGAACCCACACAGATTGTAGCTTGATTGTGAGACTTGAGGGACTTGACGATTTTGGAGTTCTACTGATCAGACTAAGTTATAGTTTGGATCCTTGGCTCGCTTATGAGTTTGTTGTTCCTCTTAGCGGTATAACTTGGTTTGCTGCTTAGAAGAAGTTCCACGTCGCATCATTTGAAACTTAAAAAGAAGATACACACATGCCCATATATTGCAATATAAATATGTTATGATGTAAATAATGCAGGAGTGATGATGTCTGTCTGCCGGCTAGCCATTATTAGGATCTCGGGGCGACGAGATATTTGAATCTGAAGTCTCCGAGCTCTGGAGCAATATTTGGGATACCGGGGATGGGCCTTTGAATTTGACTTGATTGTTAGCTGAGCTGTGTACCATTTTACAGTTGTCGGAGCATTTGAATCTCCACGCAATGGGAGTATCTCTAAGCAATGGGAGTAGTTGTCTTTGAATTTGAAATCTCTGCACGATTGGAGTATCTCCACGTGATGAGAGTAGTTGACTAAAATGTAAAATTTCCGCACAAAGGGAGTATCTCCACTCAATGGGAGTAGATGACTTTGAGTGTAAAATGCCTATAAGCCGCATAAATAAAACTTCAAAACATCCAAGATAAAGTAGAGAAATAAAGAGCATGCCTAAGAGGTACTCTTGACTGCAAAACTAATTTACGACCGTCGATTGGCAGAATGTATGGTGGATTTGGATGGTCCATCCTTCGATTGGTGGGGTCGACGACGAAGTTTTAGACTATCTACTTGGATTATCATATATGACGGAGTGACAGTGCGATCTGTGTGAAATGCTCCAGTTGGTGAACCGAATAGTTTGCTATATATAGGGCTCCAATTGGTGTAGCCGGCAACTCGATATGTACAAGGTGCTCCGATTGGTAGAGAAAACGGTTTGCAATATACAGGGCACTGATTGGCGAAGCCGGCGATTCGATATGTTCAAGGTGCTCCGATTAGTTGAGCAGACGATTTGATATATACAAGGTGGTCCGAATGCATCGAAGACTTGGTTCCGGAATACCTGCAAAGGATATGAAGTTTGTCCTTAACCATATGAGAAAATGAATTGAATACTAAGGGAGAGATAGGGTCTCATGCGATGGTAGCTGGTCTGTAATTATCCCCGGTGCGTTTTGGTATCTTTTGATTCCTGTCAATCCTGTGCTCAAAGAAAAATTATTAGTAGGGGCTTGTTGATTTGTGTTGATCATAGACCTGGCCTTGCCCTAGATCTGGTGGGTTATTCCACGAAGTTCGATAGGTGGAAAGGTATAGTTTTCTATACACATTTTGAAAATCATTTATATTTAATGGCGAATGTCGTTGTTCTAGATTATGACATGTTTAGAAATTCCCTCTGATACGAGTATCATTTATGGATGATTCTATCCCGTTGATGACGATCTCTGGAGATGCTCCTAATGCCGTAGTTTCTTGCCGTTGCGATCACATCCTAATCTAAACAAATGCATTACAAAGATTTTCCTAGGGTTATGACCGAACCTTTTAGGTTGCCTACGTATTCGAATGGAATCAGGTCTAAACGTAGTTCGAGGATGATAAAATGGTTAATGAATTATAATGGAATGACCGAGCCAGACTCAGGCATCCTACATATCCAAATAGAATCAGGTCAAAATGTAGTTTAATTACAATGGATGAAAAATGGTAAGAAATTGAAATGAAGTGGCCGAATCTGACTCAGACTGCCTACATATCCAAATGGAATCAGGCCAAAATGTAGTTCAATTGCAATAGATGACTGAATGCGATGTGGATTTCCTATGTATTCCCGCCAAAGATAATTAAGTCATGGCGTAGTTCCGAATACATACAAAATGACATTTGGATTTTCTATTACAAAAGGAGAGGGAGACCGAACCATACATGGGTTGCCTTCGTATCCCACTGCGGGAAGTCAGGTCAGGCGTAGTTTGTTTATAACTAAACCCTAAATCTACTATCTTTAAATGTAGTATCTCTTGATTACGTCTGAGTTGATGGGCTTCGTGCTGACTCTGCCATCCATTTCTGCTAGGATCAATGCTCATCCTAATAATACTCGATGGGCCACATAAGGACCTTCCCAGTTCGATGTGAATTTTCCTTTGGCCTCTTCTTGATGGGGGAAATATCTTCTTCAACACTAGTTGCCCCGGTGTGAATTGCCGAGGTTTCACCTTTCTATTGAATGCATCGGCCATTCTATTTTGATACATCTGACCATGACATACTGTGTCCATTCTCCTTTCATCAATGAGCATGAGTTGTTCTTGCCTGACACATATCCATTATGCATCATATAGTTTGGCTTCCTGAATGACTCTCAAAGATGGTATCTCGACCTCTACGAGTATCACAATTTCTGTGCCGTATACCAACATGTATGGAGTTTTCCCACTAGATGTTCTCATGGTGGTGCGGTAACCCAATAAGGCAAAGGATAGCTTATCGTGCCACTGCCTGTGATTGTCCACTATCTTCCGTAAGATCCTCTTGATGTTTTTGTTGGATGCTTCAACTGCTCCATTCATTTGTAGCTTATAGGCTATGGAATTACGGTGGATGATTCTGAAGTTCTCGCAAATTTCCTTCATGAGATCGCTATTGATATTGGCTGCATTGTCAGTTATGAGTGACTCCGGGATCCCGAATCTGCAGACTATGTTGTTACGGACGAAATCTTCCAGCACCTTTTTTGTGACTGCCTTGTATGTAGAAGCTTTGACCTATTTGGTGAAGTAGTCAATGGCTACCAGGATGAAATGATGTCTGTTTGATGCGGTGGATTCTATAGGTCCAATCACATCCATACCCCCAAGCAGCGAACGACCAAGGATAACCCATTACATTCAGCTCATTAGGTGGAACCCGGATGAAATCCTTGTGAATCTAGCACTGGTGACACTTGTGCACGTAGCGGATACTATCACTTTTAACGGTCATCCAAAAGTATCCAGCTCTTAAAATCTTCTTGGCTAAATTGAAACCGTTTATGTGAGGGCCGCACGTTCCTGCATGCATCTCTTCTAGTAATCTTGTTGCTTCAACAATATCTACACACTATAACAGACCCATGTTCGGGGTCGTCTTATATAGGACTTCCCCGTTAAGGAAGAAGTGATTTTCTAGTCTTCTTAGTGCTCGCTTCTGACCATTGGTGGCATTCTTTGGGTATTCTCTTACTTCGAGGAACCTTTTGATGTCATAGTACCAAGGCTTACCATCTGGATCTTCATCTACATGAAAACAATATGAATGCTGCTCTCAAACCTCTATCTCGATGGGGTCGATATAGTTCTTGTCCGGATGCTGGATCATAGATGATAAGGTTGCAAGAGCGTCGGCGAACTTGTTTTGGCTTCTAGGAACATGCTTAAACTCGACCTTGATGAACTTCTTACACAACTCTTTTACGTAGTGCAATTATGGAAGAATCTTGACATTTTTGGTAGTCCATTCACCCTGAACTTGGTGTATTAGCAAATCAAAATCTCCTGTGACCAAAAGTTCCTTAATGTTCGTGTTGACTGCCATCCTAATTCCAAGGATACATGCTTCATATTCCGCCATATTATTTGTGCAAGGGAGCCTTATCTTGGCTAAAGTTGGGTAATGCTGTCCCGACTCAAAAATTAGGACTACCCTAATCCATGCACCTTTTAATTTCGCCGTTCCATCAAAAAACATTCTCCACCCTGGGTATGACCCTGCAATGTCCTCCCCTGCAAACAATACTACTTCATTTGGGAAGTATGTGGTGAGTGGCTCGTAATCCTTGTCTATCGGGTTCTCTGCGAGATGATCGGCCAATGATTGTCCGTTGATAGCTTTCTGCGTCACGTACACAATATCAAATTCACTGAGAAACATTTGCCATTTGGCCAACTTTCTTGTAGGCATTGGCTTCTGGAAGATGTACTTGAGCGGGTCGAGTCGGGATATCAGATGTGTGGTATATGCTGATAGGTAGTGCCTTAACTTCTGAGCTATCAAGGTCAGAGTGCAGAAAGTTCACTCTAACAAGGTGTATCTGGCTTGGTATGGTGTGAATTTCTTGCTTAGGTGACAAGTGCAAAACACAATACGAAGTTGATACTCGCTAGCCAAAGATAGTATAGTTTAATTATCGTCTCCACAATGATAGAATTTAATCAACGTTCAAGTAATTTTTGTCTTAAATGCTATTCAGTATGATTAGAACTTTGGTTGGAATGATTATGAGCTACAACTAACTATTAAAAGTAAAGTAAATGACAATTGATCGCTAAGAACTAGTGACTAGCAAGGTTGTTATCAATGTGAGAAATAAGGGTCATGAGATGATAAGTGTGAGATTGTTATTCTGGAACTAACACTGTTTAATTTCACTATTAAAGTTCTATTGATTCTCTCGAATTCAACAGGTTATTATCCTATTATTCTAATTCAGGTTCCTCTCTCGATTAAACCTAAACCATTCAAATAACCTAATATGAAGTGCGGTGAAACTTGCAAGAATCTATTGGTAAGAATTGTCTAAGAGAAACTTCTCTCAAATATTTCTCAATCTTAATTCAAAAGGTAGATCACAAAGCTCTTTTGATTACTTTAAAAAAGTACCACAATGAATTAGGGCATACGTTGCAATAATATTCTGTATTATGCTCCTCTTCCGATTAAACACAATAATGAATATAGTCACAACTAGAGTTAAATCTCTTCCAATAAATTCAAGCAATCAAACAATTGTAACACCCCAGAAAATTTTGAAGTACTTAAGTGTAAAGCCCGGTAAAGTTTGCAAAGAAAATAATGTTTCATGGTGCCGGACTAGGCTTACATGTTTGAGTATTGTAGAAATTCTTCGCAGCGAGCTTGCGAGCCGCGGCTCGGATTTTTTGGGTTGAACAATGCACCGGAAAGTAAAGAAAATTTTTTGGCGGAAAAGTACATTTCTGCAGTCCATTATGCGATCGCCGAACCACTTTACGGACCGCATAATAGCCGCAGAGTGAGACAGTTAATTGGGTAAGTTGGAAGCAACGATGCGGTCGACTATGCGACCGCATACACAGACAGTTCTTTTGGCTATTTTGTAACCAATTATGTGACCGATATGCGGTCCGCATATCGGTTATGCGATCGCATACCTTGTTCCGGAGCTTCATTTTTGGGTTTTTAAAACCCGACCCTATTTCGTTAAATACACTCTTTGGGATATTTTTGAGACATAATCTGATATTTTAGAGTGAGAGAGAGTGCTCTAGAGTGAGAAGGCGTTCTTCAATAATTTTTCTTCAATTCTTGCTCAAGTTTTGGAAGATTA